CAAGCGCAGGCATGTTGACAGTACTTGGCCCCATGACATCAGAGTCCAACCAAGCAAGCATCGCAGCCTCAAGAATTAAGGGCATATCAACCTTGGATTCCGTTGGAAACCTGGCTTCTGTTGGTGTCGCTGGGGACCCTTTCTCAAAGGACGATCACTCAGACTCCCCCGCTGCGTTTGTAATGGGTGCAGTTTCAGATAGTCTTTCCACTGCCGAAGCGGCGGCAACAAAAACGTCGAAGGCCACGATGCCCAACAACTGGATCAACACCGCCGCCTCGTTCTCGGGGAAGATCCTTGAAGCGCCCAAGGAGACCAGATCCCAGGAGCCAATGCGGAAAATTGCCAAAGGGCCAAAGGGGCCAAAAGGCCAAAGGGGCGTGTGGCAAATGGGACCAACGTGAACCCAACCAACAGCAAGCATCTGAGACCATTCTGCCCTCTGCCTTTCACGTCCAGGAAGAGTTTCAATTTGGGCGTATCAACCTTTCCCATAGATCTTGGCTGTAATGGAATCTAGGAAATGCCTCCTGGATCCCGGACACCTGCGATGACTGCTCAGTTTGAGGGACGGAACAGGGAGAAACGAAACAGGGCCCAGGTGGGCCCGGGCAGTTTTCGCCTCAAAAGGAGCAACCAGCGAACCACACACATGAGATGCCCGTGACACGACCTGCGGCCAGGGCACAGCCCAGCCAGGGCACAGGCCAGGTGCATGACGGCCAACAGCAGAGTAACGAGGTGGCCCACTTTGCCCAGCAGCACCGCGATGAAGGCCCGGCTCCTTCACCCCCGAAAGAGCCGCAAAAAAAAGGATGCCAAGACGAGCCTGACCCTGTGGATCCACTTGGGCTCTCTGCAAAATCACTCCGGAACCTTCCTGACTTAATGGCTATGGGTCAATAGGTACCCAAAACGGAACCCTGGTAAATGCAAACATGGACTAAAATCTGCGGTCCTCTGATTTAATACTGACCCACACCCGAGTCAGAAAATTAGCTCAAAAGCTCGACATCATGTCCCACGGCCTGGGGCCAAGGGTTCAGACCGGCCATGGGCCGGGCAGGGGCGCGCTAACTTGCAACTTGCCCACGGTTTTCGTGCTCCAAGTTTCGACCTGCAGGAACCCTCCATTCCGCAAAGTCCTGGCCCACGGAGTCCTACGGAGTCCTGCCCCTCCCCAAGTCCCAAACAAATTCTCCCGCTCCCGAAGCCCAGCAGGGAGACGAGGCCGATCTTCCAGAGATCCCAGCCCATGGCATTGAAGTGGAGGGTGATGCCTGTCACACAAGCGTACGACACGAGTCAAGGCCACCTTGCATACGGGCCGGAAAAAAGACACCAAGCGCATCCAAGTCCATCGTGTGGGCTTAAGACAAAAGGGAAGAGTCATTGATGTAACAAGTCTGCGCAAAATGGCTAGCACAACAACTGGCATCAGTCGGTTAGAACTGCAAGTTGTGAGTCGTGAGCTTCCCTGTCCTGTCTTCTCCCTCCTTACGTTTTCCAACAGTCATCTGGCAATGCGGCTTTCTAACAATTTTGTTTGGCTCTCCACGTATTCTGAGAGTTGGCACGAAATGGATCCACAACTTCTTGCGCTTAATGTCTTGCACGGATTGAAGCATGTCCTGCTTGAGAAGGGTTCAACACCCAAAGGCTGGTACAAGTGCCAGTGAGAAATTCAGGGCGCAACAGCTGGGAATCAGCCTGATTCACAAAATGCGAGCCTAAAAAAGCAGCGGTCTCGGGTGTAGGCAATGCGGGGGAGGGGCCAAAGGCGGTCTTCGATCTTTCTGATGTTTCGGCATGTGGAGCCGCCCGCTGCTTTGCTTCACTGGGGTGTTCAGCTTCAGCATTCGCTGAGAACGCGCTCTGGCAACTCTCAAGGCTATCATGCTTCAGAATCTGACGTCTCCACATGAGCCAGATGTGCTTTGACGCGAGAGTTGTCTTCATATAACACAGCCACGTGCAAGTCAGTGAGTGATAAGGCCATCCTGCGGGCTGCTTACATGTAGGAACGAGTGAGCGCTCAAGCAAGCGCACAGACGTGGAAAACAGCACGGAGCGCATGACATCCATTGCAGAATAGAGTCTAGACGTGTTTGATTCAAAAAGCACTTGTGCAAAACATTCAAAACATCCATGAGAAGAGGCAGTCTGTGTGGAACCAAGGCCTATGGCGATAAAGGAAAGATCCTTGAAGAGGCGCCTGCCATCAAACACAACGAGGTCACAAACATGGTTTTTCAAGTAGGGCACAGCTACTCAGAATGAACACGGGGGTGTCCGGCACAGAAGTTTCAATGGGAGGGTTTGTCACAGGCTTGGCAACCGTCTGGGGTCTATAGCTTTAAGCAAATTCGCGCTTGCGCCACAGCAGGAGCACGCGAATCCATCCAAACTCCACGTGTCGCAAAACGGAAACCACCACAAGTCTTCAAACGTTCATCAATCCGACATTCGATTGTCGACCAACCCAAAGCTTGAAGTTTGATCAGCCCAAAGTCAGTGAGCAAAGAGGCAACACGTGGGGCTGTTGGAAGCTCAGAAGCGCAGTCAGAGGGGGCGCACCAGCGGCGAGCACACCAAACGACCGCCTTTGGCAGCTAAGTGTCTGGAAATTGTGTAGAGGGTTGTAGGTCTTAAGTTTACGATGTTTGGTGTTTAGGTTTAAGGCGATCTCCTTGTTTAATGCTTTTGGGTGTTCTGTTTCGGCCGTCGGTTTTAGGGTTTTTGCTTAGGATGCTACGGGGTTGGGCTTGGAGTTTTCATGTAGGTCTTAACGTGCTCTGCGCGCGCACAGGATGGACCGGGCGACGTGGAACACAAGCTGGCCAGCAGACTTCTGCAGAGTTTCACTATCCGTTCCTGAGTTTTACAAGTTGGTTATATATTTTGTTGCCAAATCGACTCCGACCCTCGGAGCCGTGTCCACGTCCAAAAAGAAATAGCGGGCACTTGTTTTGCTTGAGTCCGGGGCACGTTGCACATGTTGGCCGCCGTGTTCAGCCGGCTGCTAAATCTGCGTGCTGAAGTTACTTGTACTGACTGCGCAAGCACTGGCCAACAAGCTTGCAGACAAATCATGAGCAACCCGTCCAAGCACACTCTGCAAACACCAACACAATGCTTTCGTGTTGTTTATTATGTTTATTCACGATTGCAATTAGAACCTTCTCCCTTCTAATTGGCCACATTGCAACTAAGAGTACACGTGCCCCTTCATGCGCTGTAATTAGAAAGCAGACCGCATTGTCTTTTGCAGGCGTCCATACATACCATGGCCATTAGAGTCAGTAAAGTCGTGTGACGGCTGTTCCGGATGTTACCGACAAAGGAAGCAACACAAACCTCCCATCTGCCTGCCCAGGGTGCTCCATTGATGCCCCCGCAACTCAGGGGCACAAGGATGCAGACTGAGAGGTACTGCCAGCCTTGGTCCAAAGCAAACAACGTGATCAGCCAATTTGTTGGGCGCTTGCCATTTGGCTGTGGGTCAAAAATAGGTAAATGGAAACATAGACTAAAATGTGCGGTCCCCTCATCGTTGAAATTTGACCCACACCCATTTGTGGCTGCATGGCAAAACGTGGCACGTCGCAGGAACTCCTTGCCAACTTTCACGCGTAAACTTAAACAGCCGTGACACGCCAGCTGCTTGACTTCGGGCCGTCCTGATCAACTAAGGGCAGGGCTGCAGGGGATGCGTTTCTCATCGGACGACGTGGGCGTCGCGGGTTGCTCAGAGCTCTCTGCCATTAGCAGCAGCCAAGGTCTACCAAACGGCTGCTGCTTCCAAAGGAAATGTCATAAACTCAGCTCCCTTCAACTTGCAGCACGGCCACAAAGAAAGTCCACGACTCTGGCTGCAAACATGCCAAGAGCTGAGTGCCGGGACGTATGCGCGAAGAACGGCTCGCTCTCTATGCCCGACCTCATGCAACGTGCACATCCCCTCCGCAAGCCTTCAGGACTATCCCCAGGAATCGCCCCAACACAAACATCGCAATCCAGAACAAAGAACAAGCATGGCCCGTCTCTGGCCAGGAAACTTCCTGTTCCACTCAAACTTCCTGCAAAAGCTAGGGTCACCTCCTGCCTGCCGCGGGAATCCCGCAACATGACCAGACGATCCGGCAGCAGTTTCCTTTTTCAACAGTGGTGTGGCTGACAATGGCAGGATTTCGTGATTGAATGTGTTTCCTCTAAGATGGGCCTGATGTTTGATGGACAGGGTGACAGGGTACATAAGCTGTTTGGACATGAATTGTGTGCTGACCTGGAGTAGCGGCTTGTGGGCTCGTGTACTGGCTATTTGAAGTTTAATATATTCGCTGCGTATTTGGATGAGGTTTTGCCTGAGCCTTGTTGGGTTTGTTTGGCGAAGATGCATGGGGTAAGTTATTAATTCACGCAAATAAAGGGTTCTTCTGAGGCTGGACCTGCCATGCTGACAGCCTCCAACCAGTACGTGGGCCTGGCTTAGCCTCTTGGAGGGAATGTCGGCATCGAGCTGAACAGCTTCGCCAGCTGACAGGGGCAGCTCTTTGCAGGGCCTTTTCCAGGGGAGGGACCTTGTTTTGACCGGTCGCCATGGCATCTACCGTTGCATGTACAACCTCTGTGCCCTGAGTGAAAGTGTCACCGAACGTTCATTCTGCAGATTCGAGTCCTTCATTCCAAGTTTCCTGGTGTGAGTCTACAAAGCTTTGGTCTCAAACAACTCCTTTCTCTGAACTGCAGCTGATCTTTTCGAGCAACCAATTCGAGCGCCACTGTATTGCGCCCGATTGCCACGGCTCGCCGGCGACTCGCCGGGTTCTGTCCAAATACCGGTCGCCCGTTGCAAAGCAAAAAACACCTCAACGATTATCAAAAAAGATATCAAGATGCACATGGCAACGGGCCACACCGTGTTCCAGACCACTCGCTGGTATCACCAACCTTCATTGTCTATCCTTGTATTAGGTGCATCAATATCTCTCCTTTGCATAGTTTTTATTGGCGAGTTGGCCTGGGTCTCTATCCATAATGCCATTGAGTGTAACCAGGGACGACCCGAGCCGGTGGGCCCCAATCAATCTTCGGGGCAGTGCTCTCGATGTGGCAGGCACGGCCCTTCGTCAAAGCATCGGCCATCGCCGTCTTGGCCAACGCGAACTCTTGGTTGTACCTGTGGCAAAACAGGGAGGAGCAGCAACCCAAGGTCACCGGGACTCAGTGACTTTGCATGGAAGGAACAACACATTCTAATCCCCAAAAGCTCTACTGAACTCAATCGAGAGTGGCAAACGAGACTTGTCTGTGTGGTCGGGACATGATGGACTCCAAGGACCATCTTTCAGAAGGACTCCAGTCGTCTAAAACCGAGAAACTGTGCCCGATCATGTTTGATACGCAACCCGCTGCGGCCACCGCCCCCCGCCTGTCCAGCTCAATTTTGAGTTCTGAATTGATGGCCGCCCGCTCATCCTGCCCGATCTTTCCCCTGCGAGCTTTGGTCTCCAAGTCATTCAGGTCCCTCTGCAGCTCTTGATTCATCTTCATGCTCAAGCGTTCCAGCGCCTTCATCTCTTTGTCATGCAGACGTTCATCTTTTGCCTTCTGCTGCTGCAACTTTCGTGCAGATACTTCGGTCTGAACCTTGCTCACTGTGGTCATTGCCTGTGCCTTGACCTTGGCTTCCTCCGCGTGTGCCTCCAGCATGGCCGCGTGCTCCGCCTTCTTTTGAGTCAAGACTTGTTGCCTGACCAAAATCTCGGTGTTGATGCGCTTCTGGTAGAGCTCAAGGGTCTGCTCCACAGTCTGCTTCATCTTCAGGTTGTATGTATCAACTGACATGGAGAAGTGGTCGATTTGTCTCTGCATCGCTTCATAGACATGGTCCAAGGCAGACTCCCGCACTTCAGCCTGCAACTTCAGAAACTTGCTCACGGTCTCCATCTGCACTTTTGCCTCCTCTGCATTTCGAAGGTCGAGCGCCTGAATAGTTTCCAACGCCTTCTGTGTGATTTGCTTCATGGGGTCATGGAAAAGGCTTTCAACCAGCTTCTTGGTGTCTTCATTGTTCGGGTCCATCATAGATGAAAACATCTTGTCAGCTTTTTGCAGGGTCGAAGTGGACTACTAGCTGGGCATCTGAAACCAGCTTCAAGTCTGGACCCTGCTGTTGCACCTCCTGCTCTGATGCTGCTGTATCAGTCTCGCTATCTGCGCGCGACATGATACGAACCACGAATCAACGGACTGAGGGACTTACTTTGCGCCTGAGCTGCAAACTGGCGGGAAACCCTGCCGTCAACATCGCAGTTCCTGACATTGCAAATGGACGCACATCAATGGGTATCTTACCCTCTGTTCACGTCTCCGGTCACCAACAAGGGCCCTACGTCCTCGTTGGCAGGAGAATCTCGGTCGTCGCCTTGAGGATTGCGACCTGGTCACAACAAGAAACGCTGCCGGGAACATCGAATAGACATGGATCAATCACATGGAATCGCCCGCGCAACCTACGCACACACACACACAAAAATACTCGAACACTTCTTTTCACTTCAGTAGTTTTCAAACTTGAATGCAGCCCCCGATAGTCAATTTTATAGACGCTATCCGATACAGTGTGTGTGTACTTGTTGTAGTACACTCTTGTCAATGAAACATGTAACTCATTTTGCTCAACGCCCTTCTGACAACTATTTGTGCCAGATGTATGAACTGCTTGTCAGGAAGCATTTCTCCAGCCCAAGCAGCCCAACCCAATCCGGCTGTGCTGAGAGACTTCCAGGGGCCCCGAAACAAGAACACTTTCATTCAGGGCACAAAGGTTGTACATGCAATGGTAGATACCTCACAGTAGGTCTACACTTGATTTTCATCCAAGACTATATAAAATGGAAGGTTAAGGCAAGTTGCACTGCTCCTAGCTTGAACCCAAACAAGACCACCCAAAAGAACAAGGCAAGTCCGAAGCGGCCGCAGTTCTTTTTACCGGGATTGCTGAAAGTGGCACTGCTTCCAGGGCACGGGTGCGCCTGGAGCAGGAGGTGCGTTGACCCCCCGTGAAAATCTATTGCAAGACAACGCGTGTCCTTGCAAATGTATGCAGTGCGTGCATGGCGTGGCAAGCGTGCCCACGCCCAACCAGCAGACCGGGGTCTGTGGTCAGGAAAGGGCAAGCTGCAGCTCTGCCCAAACCTGCATGATCCGGAGACCATGAGCGGTCCGGAGACCAAGTGGAGACCGTGAGCGGTCCGGAGACCAATTGGTCCGGAGACCATGAACTGAAGTGCAGAGTTTGCAACATCTCTTTGCAGAGCCTTGTAAAAGGCAGAGCAGGGTGGGTGGGTGGGTTTCAAATGAAACAGCAAGTTTGGGTCAAGGCTAGGAGCAAAACGGCCACCGCGTAGGTAGATTCACAACATGCCCTAAACACAGGGGAAAAGAAAACCCTAAGCGTTAAGGCAAGTTGCACTGCTCCTAGCTTGAACCCAAACAAGACCACCCAAAAGAACAAGGCAAGTCCGAAGCGGCCGCAGTTCTTTTTACCGGGATTGCTGAAAGTGGCACTCCTTCCAGGGCACGGGTGCGCCTGGAGCAGGAGGTGCGTTGACCCCCCCTTCAGTGTTTCAGGCAACCCCGGTATAAGCGAGCCAGTTCACCATCTTTCCACAATCTTTTTACCAACTCACAATCTGTCCACCATTTGCTCGCCAACTAGCCAAATGTTCGCAAGTTCGCCAACATTTTGCAAACTTGTCAAATGTCCAGCAGTTTGCTATATTTTCACAAACGTTCATGTTTGTTTGTCAGTTCACCATTGTTTCACGTGTTTCACCAGCTTGCAACAAATCGCACATTTGCCAACATTTCCAAACTTGCCAAACACTTACCAACTCAATCTGTTCACAATCTTATTGCCACCTTTCACCAACTTGCAAACTTGCTGTCAGTTCAGAATCTGTTCAACATCTTTTGAGCAATTTGCAGACTTTTCGACCAGCCACCATTGTTCGCAAAATCTGTTCACAAACTTTACAAACCACTAGGGGAAAACTGTAGTCAGGCCCAACGTATCCCAACTACAGTTTTACCTTCATGATTTAGGCGGTGTGTTGCTGGGGATGCTGGGGCCTGCTGGGGGTTTTGCCGGTGATGCTGGGTGTTGCTGGCGCCGCTGGCCTTAAAAACGCGAGGGAAAAACTGTAGTCAGGCCCAACGTGCCCCGACTACAGTTGTTCCATCATGTTTTTTAGCGGTGTGTTGCTGGGGATGCTGGGGGTGTTGCTGGTGATGCTGGGGACGCTGGCCATAAAACGCTTGGAAACAAATGCACCTTCCCCCAAATAAATGGCAGCTATAGACAACAAGCAAATGGGAAGCTCTACTGAAGACATCCCACTCCATGAAAAGCAGCCAGCAACACCCCCAGCATCCCCAGCAACACACCACTGAACAAATTATGGAAAAACTGTAGTCGGGGCAAGTTGGGCCTGACTACAGTTTTTCCCTCGCGTTTTTAAGGCCAGCGGCGCCAGCAACACCCCCAGCATCACCAGCAACAACTCCCAGCATCCCCAGCAACACACCGCCAAAAAAAAACCGATGGAAAAACTGTAGTCGGGGCACGTTGGGCCTGACTACAGTTTTTTTCCAACCGTTTCCAGGGCCTGTCACTGGCCTGCTTGGTCGGCCTGCTGCTTTTCTTGAAGTAGGATTTTTTCCATTGGGCTTCTAGTTTGCTTGTTGTCTCTAGCTGCCTTTTTTTGGTGAAGGTGGGTTTTTTCAGGGCCTGTCACTGGCCTGCTTGGTCGGCCTGCTGCTTTTCTTGAAAAGCATTTTTCCATTGGGCTTCTAGTTTGCTTGTTGTGTGTGTGGCTGCCAGTTTTTTTTGTGCAGTTGGTTTTTTCAGGGCTTGTCACTGGCCTGCTTGCTCGGCCTGCTGCTTTTCTTGAAGTGGGATTTTTCCATTGGTAGGGTGTCATGACCGCGTCCTCTGACAGTGCGGTCTTGATGATGTCATCAGGTGTCGGCCTGAAAAAACAGCTCCTCAAACCCAAATCGTTTTTTTTATAACACTATGTGACTATGTGTGCATAAAGTGTGGAATATGCAAAACCTGAGGGCACACATGCATAACTTCTGCATAACTTCTGCATAACTTCTGCATAACTTCTGCATAACTTCTGCATAACTTCTGCATAACTTCTGCATAACTTATAGGCTGCATAACTTCTGCATATATGCAGAAGTAATACTGATTTTAGTAGGGCAACTTCTGCATATATGCAGCAGTTGTTTTGTCAGTGACATAGGCTGCATAAAACAAATCCTATGCAGAAGTTATGCAGAAGCTATGCAGAAGTTATGCAGAAGTTATGCATAGGTTATGCGTAAAACGGTTTTTATACGCAACAATCATTGAACAATACATACGCCGCGTAAAAGTCGCATAGAATTGTACCAAGTTGTCAGTACTAAGAAGGCTCGCAGTCAGATAGCTTGGAAATAGAGGATAGTATGTCAGACATAAGTCTGTTTATCAGGTGATTAACCTATGTTTATCTTAGATTTGTTTGGCTATGTTCCGGCGGACTTATAGTAGACTTAGGAGTAGCTACTCGGGAAAGTAAAAGATAATAAGTTTTCACATATTCTCTACTAAAAGATATGGAAGATATTAAAAGATAGTATATTTTTTTGTTTTATCTTTGTTTATCTTTTTTTATTTGTTTAATTAATCGTTTTGTATTTGTTTTAATCTGTTTTTACCTTTTTCAGTCGTTTTTCATTGGGGTTTGCCAGTTTAGATAGCGAGCCATATGTGCTTTTCAAGCAAAAGGACATTGCTACTATTACGAGACCACAGCAGCTGTATTGTGATGATGCCTTCCAAAAAAAGTCCCACTTCACCAAAAGCACAGGCCCGCTACCAAGCAGAGCCAACGTACAGTCCCGAAAAGGGTCCAGCTTCACAAAACAATGCAGCCACCAGACAGCAAACAAAAAGAAGCTCTACTAAAAAAAAAAAAAAAAAAAAAAAAAAAAAAAAAAATAAAACAAAACAACAAAAAAAAAAAAAAAAAAAAAAAAAAAAAAAAAAAAAAAAAAATAAAAAAAAGAAAAAAAAAAAAAAAGAGACTAAAAAAAAAAAAAAAAAAAAAAAAAAAAAAAAAAAAAAAACAAAAAAAAAAAAATAAAAAATAAAAAAAAAAAAAAAAAAAAAAAAAAAAAAAAAAAAAAAAAAAAAAAAAAAAAAAAAAAAAAAAAAAAAAAAAAAAAAATAAAAAAAAAAAACAAAAAAAAAAAAAAAAAAAAAAAAAAAAACAAAAAAAAAAAAAAAAAAAAAAAAAAAATAAAGAGAACCATTTCACGAAAAGCGGCAGGCCGACCAAGCAGGCCAGTGAAAAGCCCTGCTGCGCAGAGAAAACAAGGCAGGCACACACAACAACCAAACTAGAAACCTAATGGGAAAATCCAACTTCACGAAAAGCAGCAACCCGACCAAGCAGGCCAGTGACAGCCACACACACACAACAAGCAAAAGCAACAGCCCCCAGCATCCCCAGCAACACACCGCCTAAAAACAACGAGGGAAAAACTGTAGTCGGGGCACGTTGGGTTTTTCCAACCGTTTCCCAAGCGTTTCTAAGGCCAGCGTCGACCAAGCAGGCCAGTGAAAGGCCCTGAAAAAACCCACCTTCACAAAAAAAAGGCAGCTAGAGACAGCAAGCAAACTAGAAGCCCAATGGAAAAATCCCACTTCAAGAAAAGCAGCAGGCCGACCAAGCAGGCCAGTGACAGGCCCTGAAAAATACCCACCTTCACCAAAAAAAATGGCAGCTAGAGACAACAAGCAAATGGGAAGCTCTACTGAAGAAATCCCACTCCGTGAAAAGCAGGCCATGCAGGCCAGTGACCGGCCCTGAAACAAATCCGCCGTCACCAAAAAAAATGGCAGCTAGAGACAACAAGCAAATGGGCAGCTGTACTGAAGACGTCCCACTCCATGAAAAGCAGCTGGCCGACCAAGCAGGCCAGTGACAGGCCCAGAAAAAAAACCAACTGTGCAAAAACATGCATTTGATATTTTTCTTTTTGAACCCCCCAGGTAAAGAAACATCACTTTTGGGACTCGGGATTTTGATTTTTTGCTTTGTTTGAACCCCCCAAGTAAAGAAACATCACGTTTGGGGCTCGGTATTTTGAACTTTTTGAACTTTTTGACTCCCCAGGTAAAGAAACTTTTGGCGGCCCCTCCAAACATCAACCCAAACCAAATGAAAAAAGCGGAGCCCTCCAAACTACCAACCCAAACTAAATACATCAATCAGTCCCTGCAAACCAGCAACCGAAACTAATGGAAAACC